TAACAGCAAATGTACAACGTTTCGACAAGGTTTTGTCATCATCAGGTTATGTTAACCTTATATTAAAGTTTTTCTTCATTACTCATTCACGCCATCTCCAAGCATTATTAATTGACAAAGTTAAGTATGCCTAAAGAAATGGTTATATAAAATTCACAAGAAAAAATTCATCTTCTTACTGTATTGGGGGTCCTCCAGTAAACTCCACTATTTGCATGTTCTGGAAAGCATAATGAACAATGGAGAGATACTGAAGCCATTTAAGCCAAGGGGGGATACAAGAAGAATAGTATCCCCCAAACAACATAGTGGACAGAGAGTAGAGAGCCGAGATAGTGACTGAAACTTGTAGGTCAGTACAGGATGCCCCAATAAACAGCCCTACACTCTGTTGAGAAAAAAAAAATTATGTAAACATTTTAATAGCTAATGTTAATAATTTATATTATTTTCTAAAGGTTATAATCTAATTGTTACTAATAAAGATTTTTACTTGATAGTGAGTATAAAAACATTTTATAATTTAATCATAAACAAAGAATTAATGTATTTATATCAGTAACCAAGATTTGTTTTTATTAGAATTAATTAATTTACTTTTATAAAAAAACATGTAATCAGTATTTTGCTAAAGTAGACTTCTTGACCTTTTTTCTTAGTTATATTCTATTAGATGTAGCTTTGCCCAAAGGTATGTTATTTTCAATCTTAATAGTACCTTATGCGACACATGGGTTAAACGTCAGAAACCCAAATGTTCAATCAAGTATAGCTGTCTCTAATTTAGTACTGCTGACCTGAGAACTCGTCACAAGTGCCCGCTTCCTCCTCAAATACTCTTATCTTAACAGTGGGATTGACTGTCACTTATTTAATACACCCACAACTGAAAGTGAGAATCAAGACTAGAGGCATATCGCTGGTTCTATCCTTGAACTTTCCGATCTGCATATTAACCACTAGGCCACTCTCAGTCCAAGTTTTAAAGCATAATTTGGGAAGATTAAAAAAAAACTTCTTAAAATGTTATCCTCTTTTCTACTAGTAGCGGTTAATTAATATTTCGGCCTGGCATGGCCGGGTGGTTAGGGCGCTCGACTCGCAAGTTGCGAGTCGTGGGTTCGAATTCCCATCACCGAAGATGTTCGCCCTTTCAGTGGTGGCGTTATAACGTGATAGTCAATCCAACTAGAGTTGACGGTGGGTGGTATTGACTAGCTACCTTACCTCTAGTCTATCACTGCTAAATTAGGAACGTCTAGCACAGATACCCTTCGTGTAGGTTTGCGCGAAATTGCAAACAAATCAAACCAATTAATATTTTTTTATTGTTACTGCTTTATAATTTTATCCCAAAATTTCTCTACTAAAATGGTTTTCGCTTCTCATTACTCTTTAGAGTATTGTTATCTGTAATATTTTAAACTATTTTATACTTTAGAGTATTATTATCTGCAATATTTTATACTATTTTCTTAACCAATTTTTCATAATTAAAGTGTTTTGTTGACAGATTGGTATCCTATACTCGAGTGAATTAAAACAAAAAGCCTTAATATATTTCCCGCGTCATGAATCATAAGAACGGTAGTACTTATAGTA